CGATGATGGCGCTGTTCGACGTCAAAGGACTCTTCCAAAAGGCGTCGAACTTCTGAGAGGAGGATCCGGTCTCTCGGGTGGATCGTCGATGATGGCGCTGTTCAAAGGGCTGTTTCTGAACGGCGTGGAACATCTGAAAGGAGGATCCTCCATGGAGGAGGAGTCGATGATGGCGCTGTTCGACGTTGAAGGACCCTTTCCGAACGGCGTGGAGATTTTGAAAGGCGGATCCGGCCTCTCGGGTGGACTCTCCACGGAGTGGACGAAGTGTACCGATTTGTCGATGATGGCGCTGCTCAGAGGGCTCTTTCTGAACGGAGGATCCGGAGGATTCTCCATGGAAGAGGAGTGGACGATGGCGCTGTGGCTCTTCCTGAACCGCGTGGAGGAAGAAGATGCCCCGCCGCCATTCCTCGCGATGTCTAACCGTTTCGCGTCGAGTCGCTGGTTATCGCGCTCCTCCCCCCCCTCGCCCGACGATTCTATTAATAAATCATCGGGGAGCGGTGTCGCGTGGCGAGCCAAGTTCAGCCAGTCGCACAACCTGGTGGCTTTCAGACGCTGCCGACCCCTGTCAAAGCCAGGGACCCCGTCACGGGATTGGCTCGATTCCTCGAACGTGACCGATTTCGTGCCGCCGCTCCTCCTGTCCGAATTCTCCTTGATAATCTCCAACAGTCTGTTCCTCTCGCCGCCTCCTCTCCACTCCTCCACTCCTCGCCCCTTCTCGTCACGGGGGCCCATCACCTCTACCATCCGATATCCGGCGAGGGGGACTCGTGGCGGGGGCTCCTCGTCGAAGTAGTTGCGCCTGTTGATGAACTTCTCGTGCAAATCGAGCAGATTGTCGGCCGTTGCCTTTACCCCGGCCTTCCGTTGGGACGGGGACAGGCAGACGAGCAATTTCGGGTCGGTGGCGGTCGATAAACCGAGCCAAGTATCCTCGACGCGGTTCGAACTTCCACGGACCCCGTTCGTCGTCGAAAATTTCGATACCTCGGCTCCCAGACTCTCGAACGGGTTGAAACTGGGCACGGTGATCTCGTTGATCACGTGCAGGCCGTACGGCATGGACAAGATTTTCTTGATGCAGATATCTTTCAACGATTCGACGGGGCCCGTTTCCTCGAAATCGTTTCTCTTACCCTTCGAGTAATTCGAGCCACTCTCGATCGGTACGTAGTAGAGGTCCTCGCTGGTAGAGGGTGGTAGAGGCGACGATTCGATTCGCTCTCGCCTCAATTTGCTCTTCCTCGCCTCCTCGGCTATTATCGAGAATATGTCCACCTGCCACGCTTCCATCGGGCCGTGGAGCCTCGTCGAATCCGATATTTTGGCGGAGGGAGAAGTTTCGCTCCTCTCGTAAACATTTCGTTTGCGATGAGACCGCGTCTCGTCGTTTTTCAGGATAGAGTTCAATACGTGGGAAGGAGAGTCCTTTCTCTCTTCGCCGATTTCGAACGCGGGGGAGGATCGCGGCTCATCGCCGGACGCGCGAGTGGAATACTTGTAAATCTCCTCGAATTCTTCCTCGCTCGTAGTGAGCTCCCTCGTCGTATCCTTCGAACTTTCCGTCTTGTTACCGCGCTCCTTGCTGCTACTACTACTAGACGTTTCGACCGTCCTCGACGTCTCGTTCTTCACGATCTTCTTGTGCACGCGATGATGACGAGACTGCACCTCTCGTCTCGGCCCGACCTCGTTTTCCTTCCCTCCGTTCTCGTCGCGAATCTTTCTAGTCCTTTCCTTCGCTTCGTTCGGTTCTCCGGAAATCGACGATTCCACGTTAATTTTCACTATCCTTTCCACGGGTTTCCCCTGCGAAACGAATTCCTTCCTTTCTTCCTGTTTCTCACTGGAAATTTTCACTATTCTTTCCGAAGCTCTGTCCGCACTCTGTTTTACCGACTTGGATTCTAGGGACTTTTCGTGTAATTCGTACGAAACCTTTTTTCGTTCTTCGTCTTCACATTTCTTGGAAATGTTCGGTTTGTCAGATTCGTCGGTGGACGATTCCACATTGATTTTCACTATTCTTTCCACGGGTTTTCCGCGCGGTTTTTCGTCAGAAACGAATTTTTCCCTTTCTTCCTGTTTCTCACTGGAAATTTTCACTATTCTTTCCGAAGCTCTGTTCGCACTCTGTTTTATCGACTTGGATTCTAGGGACTTTTCGTGTAATTCGTACGAAATCTTTTTTCGTTCTTCGTCTTCACATTTCTTGGAAATGTTCGGTTTGTCAGATTCGTCGGTGGACGATTCCACGTTGATTTTCACTATTCTTTCCACGGGTTTTTCGTCGGTGATCTTTTTCCTTTCTCCCTCTTTCTCAGAAGTTTTCACCTCGTCGGGTTCGTCACTGGACGATTCTACGTTAACTTTCACTATTCTTTCCACGGGCTTGTCTACACTCCGTTTTATCGACATAGACTCTAGTGATTTTTTGGGTAATTCGAACGAAACCTTTTTCTTTCTTTCCTCTTCAGATTTCTTGAAAATCTTCGTTTCGTCCGGTTTCTCGGTGGACGACTCCACGTTGATTCTCGCTATTCTCTCGACAGGTTTTCCGTCAGAAACGAATTTTTCCCTTTCTTCCTGTTTCTCACTAGAAATTTTCACTATTCTTTCTTTCACAGGTTTCTCCGCGCTCTGTTTCATCGACACGGACTCTAGTGATTTTTCGTGTAATTCGTAAGAAACCTTTTCCTCCTCTTCGCATTTCTTGAAAATCTTCGCTTCGTCCGGTTCCTCGGTGGACGGCTCCACGTTGATTTTCACTATTCTCACCACGGGTTTTCCCTCAGAAACCTTTCTCCTTTCTTCCTCTTCGGATTTCTCGGAAATTCTCGCCTCGTCTCGAATCGTGGACGATTCCACGTCCGCCGCGCTTCCTTTCCAAGTGGACGCCGCTGATTCTTCCCGCGTCTCTCGAGATTCCACGTCAATTTTCTCTATTCTTTCCACGCACCTCCCCCCTCCAAGTTTCGAAGTCGAAGCGGGGAGATCCGACGATCTCTCCTCTCGAGACCGATCCATGACAATTTTCACGGGTGGCCCGTCCACGCTCTGTTTCGTGCGCGATTTTTCGCGTGTCTCTCGATCCAAGCAGTCACGCTTTATTTCAGAACTTGCGCCATTGCCAAGCCTGGCGCCATTCTCCGCGTACTTGCGCAACTCGTTCGTCTTGTTGTCGTCGAGGCAAGCACCCCTCCCCCCAACGCCTTCGAATCGTCCACCAACACGTTGCGCACGCTCTCTGGTAGGGTGACCATGTCCACGTTGCTTAAAGTGTCGCGAATATTTTCGACGCCGTCGTCACTCTTGGATATTATCGTCAATAATGTTCCAAGAGTGCCAATATTTTCCCTCGTCGTCCAACTTTCCGTGGAATCTCGACGCGACGAGGAGCTAGCTGCGTCCTCCGTCCTCTCGAGACTCTCCGTTGAACGGCCAGGGATATTATCCCCAATGCTCTCCTCGCTTCCCCCTTTTGGTCCACGGGTTGATCTTTCTTGGAAGTCGAGGCTGGACGATCTTTTTGGCGGTGTTGGGGGACGTTTGCTCTTCGCGTCGTGCGAAATTTTGCATAAATCTTTGGGCAAAGCGGTTAACGAAGATACTCTCAAAATTGATTCGCTCGTCGATCGCTTATTTCGCGCCAATTTTTCGTCAATTTTGGATATTTGCGCGGCAATATTCCTCGAAGCTTCCTCTTCTTCCTCTTCTTTTAGAAATTGCTTAGTCAACGTTTCGTTTTCGGAGTCTACGTCATCTCCCGTTAATTTTGACTTCACGGTTAACGCTTCTCGCGCATCCTTACTTTCCAAATCCAATTTTCCTTCCTCCACGCATTTCTCGATTTCTCTGTCACCGTCCGTTTTCGATTCCTCTTTTCCATTTTCGCCCAATTTCGACCCCTCTTCCATACTTTCTACGTTTTCCATCACACTGCGTTCATCGATCGATACATCCACGGATGATTCTTTCTCCTCCGATCTCGATCTCCTATTAATTAACGTTTCGTCTAATTTTTTACCGACAGAAATTTCGTCTTCAACTATCAACCTGGATTCGCTTCGATTCATGTTTTCATTACTCGTTTCCAATATCTCGCTTTTTTCAATCACCTTTTCAGATTTCTCATCCGACATTTCTTCGTGCTCTTCCTTGCTCTCCTTTCTCTCCACGCCTTCCTTTCCATCACCTATCTCTATGCTTTTCCCCTCTAATTCCTCTTTCTTCGATATCTCTCCTTCTATAGATTCTCCTCCAATTTCTATATTTTTCTTTAACATTCCTCCTTCTACAGATTCTTCTTCACCACAAATTTCCACATTTTCCTTTTCCTTCTCCAATTCCTCTTTCTTCAACGTTCCTTCTTCCACAGCCTCCATACTTTTCTTTTCCTTGTCCAATTCCTCTTCTTTCAATGTTCCTCCTTCCACAGTTTCTCCTCCATCACAAATCTTCACATTTTCCTTTTCCTTTAATGTCCCTTTCGTCTTCAACTATCAACCTGGATTCGCTTCGATTCATGTTTTCATTACTCGTTTCCAATATCTCGCTTTTTTCAATCACCTTTTCAGATTTCTCATCCGACATTTCTTCGTGCTCTTCCTTGCTCTCCTTTCTCTCCACGCCTTCCTTTCCATCACCTATCTCTATGCTTTTCCCCTCTAATTCCTCTTTCTTCGATATCTCTCCTTCTATAGATTCTCCTCCAATTTCTATATTTTTCTTTAACATTCCTCCTTCTACAGATTCTTCTTCACCACAAATTTCCACATTTTCCTTTTCCTTCTCCAATTCCTCTTTCTTCAACGTTCCTTCTTCCACAGCCTCCATACTTTTCTTTTCCTTGTCCAATTCCTCTTCTTTCAATGTTCCTCCTTCCACAGTTTCTCCTCCATCACAAATCTTCACATTTTCCTTTTCCTTTAATGTCCCTCCTTCTACAGATTCTCCTCCATTACCAACCTCCATACTTTCCTTTTCCTTTAATGCTTCTTCTTCTACAGATTCTCCTCCATTACCAACCTCCATACTTTCCTTTTCCTTTAATGCTTCTTCTTCTACAGATTCTCCTCCATTACCAACCTCCATACTCTCCTTTTCCTTTAATGCTTCTTCTTCTACAGATTCTCCTCCATTACCAACCTCCATACTTTCCTTTTCCTTGTCCAATTCCTCTTCTTTCAATATTCCTCCTTCTACAGATTCTCCTCCATTACCAACCTCCATACTTTCCTTTTTCTTGTCCAATTCCTCTTCTTTCAATATTCCTCCTTCTACAGATTCTTCCCCATTACCAATCTCCATACTTTCCTTTTCCTTGTCCAATTCCTCTTCTTTCAATATTCCTCCTTCTACAGATTCTTCCCCATTACCGATCTCCATACTTCCTTTTCCTTGTCCAATTCCTCTTCTTTCAACGTTCCTCCTTCTGCTACAGCTTCTCCTACATTACCACGAATCTCCACATTTTCTTCCCTCTTCACCGTATCCTCCTCATCGCTCGCCAATTCCTCTTTCTTCAACATTCCTTCCTCCACAGTCTCTCCTCCATTACAAATCTCCATTACATTTCCCCTTTCCTTCTCCAAACCCCCATCTCTCCCCCCAATTCCCGCCTCCCTTTCACCAGGAGGATCCTCACCCTCCTCCATCTCCTCCCCGTCCACGCACGTCACGTTTATCCTCACCTCGCCAAAGCCACCCCCTCCCGCCCCTCCCCCCTCTCGGACACCCTCTCTCCTCCCTCCGATATTTACCGATCTCCTCGTTGATAAAGTCCCTGATATGCTGCTCCTCGTCCTCCGACAACTTCTCGCCCTCCTCCTGAATAATGTCCAAGAACCTGTTGGCCGCCTGCGAGTGAGCGTGGTGCGCCGCCTCGTGCCTCCTCCTCCTCGTGCCCCTCTGCTGCTCCCCCCCATCCCCCCCCTCCACCTCCACCTCCGCGTAACACGGCAATTTTAGACCCTCGATGAACCTCCTCAACTTCCTCTCCACGTCCCGTGGCATCACCGTGTCCCAACACTGGCCACCCCTGCCACCCTCCCCCTCATCCCTCGAAACCGACGTCCCCTCGCCCAAGTTGCCGCCGACCCCCTCCCTCTCCGCGTCCGATTCCATCTCGACGATCACGGGCTGCTGCTTAATAACAACGTTATCGACCTCGGCCACGTCCCAGTCGGTCACGTCGCGAATCTGCAATCTCTCCCTCGCCCTCCTCGCGTCACCCGGAACGGAATTGTCATCGGGCGCGATGCTCGTCTCGGGGACGAAGGACGGCGAGGGGAAAGCGTCGAGGGGCTCGGACACGGTGACCACCGTCGCCTCGCCGCCCTTCGCCGATCTCGACTCCGTTTCCACTATACCGACTCCCGGAATGTGGCCTATCCTCGCCTCCAACGGCGGCTGCTGATGGTAGTTATCCTCATCACCTTGATGCTAGGCTTTATCGTTCCTGTTTCTATCCTGCATCTCTCCTCCCTTCTCACGGAGGAGGGGTCAAGAGATTTCGTCGGCTCGGGATCTCGGTCGGTAACGATGGTTTCTCGGTTTTCTTCGGGACGGGATGAACGCGAGAGATCACCGTCCACCGTGGCGTCGCTCGGATCGATCTCCTCGATCGTTTCCTTCGGGCTGTTGTCGTCGTCTTTCGCTCTGTCCCTCTGACCGCCCCGCCTCCTGCCCCGACCCTTTCGATTTCGACGATTTTTACCGTGGGCCGGCATGCTGGCCTCCTCTGCCGCTGTGTGCCCCGAGGATTCGTTCGATCCTATGCACAATCGAACAAATCCGGCCACAAGTCTTCTCTCTCTCTGCTTTTCTTATTTTTAGTCCTGCCTTATTCCCGAGGATTCACACACACGAGAAGGGATTGGTTAGATCGGTCCTCGGTCGAGGCCCTCGAGTCATTTTCGAACGGGCCGAGCTCGGTCGGTAATCGAATGAGTTTTCGATTCGTCCGAGAATCGAAACGCGAGTTGAATTTCCTTTCCAATGAATTCTTCGAGAAGATACGTATATATATATACGCTTCTGATCTTCGAGGATTAGGATAGGAAAGGAATATTCTCTTTCCTTTCTGCGTTACGGCTATTATGGGAAGAATCGTTTAAATTCGAAGGAAAGCTCGGCGAGATAAGCGTAAATAATGATTTAAAAATATTATAATGGGGTTAATCGAATCGAGAAGAGAATCGAACCTTTCCAATGTTTTCTCATCGCGATGAGATTAGACGAGGTGTATATATTAAAGGCGAGAAATAATCCTATTAAGTGGCGCAGAGCTGCGTTTAAAAGAGCTTACGATAAGATGCGATATATATTTTTACATCTCTGAAATTTTTAAACGATGTTACGATGACGACATTTAGTTAGTCGAGACATAATATTTGCACGAAAAAAATGATTTCGAACGAAATTGTGTATATATACTTTTGAACGAGAGAATGAAATTTGACGTAACTCAACAAGCAATGACCCAATTTGTCAGACCAGCATTCCAATATATCGGCTAAAATATCGTCGAAGAAAAGAAATAAAGAATACTCACTTTTCTTGATTTCGTCTCGTTGCTGGATCAACGAACTCTTTGGACCACCGTTCTGACTGGCGTAGCTCTGATCAGGTTTTGCGTCATCTGAAAAATAAAATACATTGAAGCATCGAATACATTGCTAATTTAAAAATGGTAAAACGAAAATTTGAGAAAAGTATCCGATGCAAAAGAAAAAATCGATTTCTACAGAATTCTACCTTATCTAAATAGCACCGTTTAGTACTACTTTATCCAACGAGTTAATATCGCGATCAGCTGATGATTTGAAATTGCAAGCGATGTTTTTTCCTGATCAATCTTTTTCTCTTTTCTCTTTTCCTTTACAAGTGAAGCCTCAGACAAATTTCTATTTCTTATTATCCTCATTACTTTATATCGCGACTAAATTATTCCTATAAAAATATTCTCAAAAAATACATGCAATTCCCTATCCCTAAAAATTAAAATCCAAGTAACGATCGGACGGATTAACTCGTCCTTCCTTATCGGTCAAGAAATTTTTCAAAAAGTGCACAAAACCGCGAAATTAGAACTCGTCCACGGACCTGATTCGTACAAAGTCCATCAACGATCGCGCTAGATCCGCGTGTTCGGTGACAGTCGGTTATGAATTCGAACGGGCCACAAATCAGCGGCATGGCCTGCAAGGTCCATGAATCGCGGGAATGGACTGAGCGCGAACAGATCCGCCACCCGTGAAACACGCTCGCGTCCCCACCCACGCCGTGCCGATCCTCCTGCCCGCCTGTGTATCGCCAACGTGTATTTTTTGTATACATGCTTACGAATACCAGGGTTTCTCAAATTATTATTTTTTTCTCTATATTCATGCATTATCCGAGTTATCAAATAATTTGTAAAGTAGTAAATAAAAAACCAAAATAAATAGCGGTGGAAAAAAATATCGAGTAGATGAAAATTTTTGTGAAACTAATTCACGAATGGAATGGAATCGAAACGAAGATGTGTTCGAAATATATCGCGTCTTCTTTGAATAATTTATACTTTTTTGGCATTCTGGATTCTTTGGAAAATTTATTATTGTTTGTCGAGAGATATTCGCGAATCTCTCGAGTTGGAATGGTTTTTATGGAGTTACGTGTAAATTGGTAAATCCGTGTAAAATTGTTGAAAAAGCGTTCGTACGCGTATGATTAATTCATCAAAGATGAGATTACAAATTTAGCCCGTGAAAAACGGTGAAAATAAATTATTTAAGGGGAAGCGCATCGTTAGCAAAAATAAATTTATCCACTAAATAAATTCTGCAACGTCGCGCATTGGAATATATTGGATAGAAAATGCCGCGATGCGAATGGATCGTTGGGATTGTACCAGATATGAATGAAGTACGTACACCTCTTGTTTACAAAGTTCATAAACCTGCCATGAATATTTAATATCAACCACCACTGTGCCATAATTTCAAATTAAGCTGCTTAAAGTTTGGAATAAACGACATCTAAGCATTAACCAAAAATAATCAAATTTAAATTCAAAATTCTAAAATAGTAAAAAAATGATAAAAAAAAAAGAAAATTATACCATAACGATTAATTTAAATTAATTCTCCCAATCGTTCGTAAAGAAGATCGACGATTCGAATGATACTCTATCGGTAAATCCGATTAAACGTGTCGCAAAATCATGGAATAATTTTTCGACACTTCTAAAAAATTACTGGAAAAACTAAAATTCTGATTACAATTATTGTTCCATATGTGAAAATACCAACCAATTTGCTATTCCTATCGGTGAATAAAAATTTGAGAAACGCTGCGCGCGGATCAAGTGACAAAGTTCTCGTACGCGAATTCGAGATACGCATGCGCGGCCAGACCCCTGAATGATGTTTTTACGCGAAGCGTGCGCGCATACGTACGGATCATACGTACATTAAAACACAACCGCGCCTCGTTTGTGGTGCAAAACACGGTTGTACGAACACATACGAGCAACCTTTGTAGAAGGATCTGATACACGTCGTCGCACGAGGTGCGTGTATACCTTCTCTTCGCCCCTCCGCCTCTCACGTGGTTCATGAATAGCGCCACTTCCGAGTTGAACTTCCTTCCGTGTAAACAATGGCGGGAGAATCGACTGCTGTCCCGAGCACACCCATCCATTTTCCACACTTTTCATTACATCACGTGTACAGACACACGCCCGAACTCGATTGGAAATAGTTCGAACGATTAGAATCGAAATCGATTGTTGCATTTTTTTTTTTTAACTCTCTTCTTTGATTCGATAAATATTAACTTTGGAATGGCACGATAGGATTTTTGTTATTTCGATTGCACTTTCCTCTTTTTTTTTTTTTTTTGGAGAGAAGGAGATATTATTTTTAAATCGAGTCTTTCTATTTTTCGGGTAAAATACACAGAATGAGATAATAGGTTTTTTTAATCATCAAATTATCGCGTGTTCTATCGATTATAAAAATTACAACTTATCAAAATCCTATCTTCCCGAAACTTTTCCAAACGTTTCTATACGAGAATTGAAAGGGAAGGCAGAAAGAGGAGACAGAACTCGTACTTTGAGAAGAACGTCGGGAAAACGAGACAAGAAAGAGAGTAATTTTGACGTCTCGACGTTTCGAACATCTTACGTCGTTTCGCTTCCCTTTGTTGCTCAAAGGTGAACGACTCTCTAATTAGGTTTTGCTCCTCTGAGATTTCAAAAGGGTTGCACGACTCCTCTCCAGATATAATGCAACGACTCCCCGGGGCTCAGACGGTAGTTCGCAAACATTATTGATTTACATCACGCAAAAGGGATGATAAAAGGGTGAAACACACTTTCTTATCCCGTCTCGTAATTTATAAATATCTTCTCCTTTTAATCTAAAAAAAAAAAAAGAGAAAAAAATCGATATTAAAATACGTCAAAAAGCAAAAAAAAAAAAAAAAATCCAAAAATTAAACAAGTTTTCTAATTGAATAATTAAAAAAAATTTGTTGAAGAAGAATTTAAAATAATAAGAAATTAATCGATTTTAAAAGTTTGCGTAAGTTAAACTCGTTAAAAACAGATTCTTCGTCTTTCTATTATTTATTTTTTCTTTTTCTTCTCTCTCTCTCTCTCTCTCTTATCGCGCTGACTCAACTCGACAGAAATCTAAATCTCGTTCCTCCTCCCCGTCCTAACCTTGCACTATAAATGGCCATCAGTGAGACATATTGCGCTTCTTAATTACGTAATTGAACCGATGATGAGCTAACGTGAAATTATCGAAGAGTGAAGGACGAAACGGATAATTATAAAAGTGGGAGCAGCTTTTTGTTGTTGTACGAGCGGAAAGGAAACACGGTTAATTCGTTCTCGTTTTAAAAACATCCGTGATAAGAATAAATATTATTAAAGGAAAAAAAAGAAAACGAAAATTCGAAGGATAAAAATCGAAACTCGATCTCGAATCGTGCGAAGAGAAAAAAAAAAGAGTAAGAAGAAAAAAATGGAAATTCGAAACGCGACAGAAGAAAATTGAATTTCGTACGGATCGATCTCTCTCTCTCTCCCCCTCTCTTTCTCTCGATATTGGAAATTGTATCTGCAAGGGTATGGCTTTGCAAGCGTTCTTTTGACGTCCATCAATGTATCGGATGTCGAAGCAGATAGTTTTTTCTTTCTTCTTGTTTTACTTGAATAAAGAATCGGGAAAAGGGGAGAAATTATTCGTGAAAAAGAGTAGATCGTGTTTTTCGAATATTCGAAACGCCTGCACAGACTTTTTATATTTTTCGCTTTCGCAAGCAAGTATTAAATTAAACGATGAAAATACTGTAAAATAAAAAAAATTTAGATTACTGTTCCTATGAATTCAAAATAATAAATGAAACTACGCTAGAGATTAAAAAATTATCGAAATGTTAAAAATATTTCATTCTCTTTATCCGTTTATCACTGTTGAAATCGTTTACAAATTTTCACAATATCTAATTCATTTTTTCAACATGTACATACTTTAATTACTTTTACGAATATTGTTCGAAAATTTTCTTCTCGTTATTTCCATATTCACAAATACTTACAAATACCATCAGATTCACTTTTTCGATAAGATTTCCAAGATTGTTAAAATTTAACACGAAGAAAATTTTCCTCTCGTTATTTCCATATTTGCAATAATTATCTCGATGCATATTTCGATCGATCAAGATTTCGATAATACGATGGAATATAGTGGCGCAGCGTATCGGCGATTACAAGAACAATGGATTCCTTGCGGTGGCAAACGCGACGGAATAAAATGGACGTTTAGGATACGTGTTAACGGGAGTTTGATAGGTGCGGCTTGTATCGCGGCGTCATGGCCCAAGGGGGCCGAGCCCGCGCTTCCATCTTTTGTCCCTTGCCTTCGAAACCGCTCAGGGATTCCTACGATCTCGTTCCTCCCTCGATTACCGCATTAATCGACCGTTATATAATTGCTAACGACACGCGTCACCGATTTTCCTTCCTTCGTTCCGTGCTTTGTTTCGCCCTTTCCGCATTCGTGTTCGATGTAGTAAGTTTCAACGGGAAGAGATCTGATCGATCGATTAGAATCGAGTAGAGTAAAAATTTTTAACGATAATTTCTTTCTTTGTTCCATGATTGTTAACCTTTGCTGTTTAAATGGAAAGCATTCGTGTCCTATAAATTTTAATAAAAGTCTTTGAAAAAAATATGGAAAAATTTATAAGGAATAATTTAAATATCTAAAAAATAATCGTTCTCTCGTTTGTTTCGTAAATGGAATTTCTAATAGCTGAAAATCTTGAAAAAATTTGAATATTCTAAATTGAGATATGATATGATAAATATATAAAAAAATACGACGAAAAATTCGATTTTTTTTTTAATAAATAATAGGACACAAATGATAGAAGTTTTGCTTTAGAATAGTTTTAAAAATAATATTCTCGCGTCACAAATCACGTTGAAACGTAATCAAGCGTAATAAAATGGTGTTCCGAATAAAAACCACGTTGGAGCACATTGGTCGTTTCAACGAAACGAGCCGATACGATCGTTTACGTTCTCGAACAAATTGAACTTAAAAATATCACACGCGTGCACTTTACGACCGATATCATTCCATTTCACTAACAATTTCTCATCCAAACATTCTATTCCAATAGAAGAATAACGTATATGCCCTGAAACGTTTCGATTCAAGGCTGAAACCGTTTCGATTCGAGGATATCGAAACCTTCTTCCATTCCTCTAATTGAACCAGGATATCATTCTATTCGAGATAAGATTGTGGAATCAGCCGTTATTTCGTATCAAATTCCCTCCTCTTTTATCCATCTCTTCGATTAGAAATAAACCCGCCAGATCGTACAATTTTTCAACGACTGCAATAATAATTTTACGCGAAAGATATCGAACTGTTTAGAAAGTGATTTCGTTTTTTCACACGAGTGTCGAACGTTTATCTGGCCAACTTCACTCTAGAGTAGAAATTAAGTCGTTCGGAAAGTGATTTCGTTCTTTCACACGAGTGTCGCTATTGTCGAACGTTTATCCAGCTAACTTCACTCTAGAATAGAAATTAGGTCGTTCGGAAAGTAATTTCGTTCTTTCACACGAGTGTCGCTGATTGTCGAACGTTTATCCAACTAACTTCATTCTAAACCGTGTCGTTATTATACATTATATTCTAAGAGTTGGCTATATTTCATGGTTTATTCATGGTATAAGAAAAATTCGTTCGATTCCGTGCGGTTGTGTTTTTTACAAGTGATTGAAAAAGATGCAAGACCGAAAAGAGCATATTTTACTTTTTTATTATCGAAAAGGTGGGAACAGTGTTCGGGCAAGAAAAAGGTAAGTGTAAAAACTGGTTTTTAAAATTTCGTTCCGACAATTTCCACGTTAAAGATCAATCGAAGCTGATAAAGACGAAATAGAGACATCGATCGAAACAAACCGACGAATAAGAAATTTGCTGCAAGATCGAATTCGATTGTGAAACGACTCGAAAAAACGAAATTATTTTCCGAACAATCCAATATAAATTATATTTCGAAGAATATCGATTTGTCGTGTATAAAAATTTCAATAATAAAGATCGAAAAGAGATTAATTGTAACCTAACCTAATCTAATTCCCTTATCTTTAAACTCTATTATCAAAATGATAGGAAGACCGTTTAACGCTTGGATTAATACATTTGCACGTAGCTGGATAGCCCGTTAACGCGCAACGAATTCATTATAATTATTAACTTTCGCGATAAAGAACGCGTATAAACGTGAACCATGTTTTGCGACTGGAAACACTGGTTAATTCCCGCGCATTACTCCTAAACGAATAATTTATACTTGGAACTTCCTCCATTCGGTTAATGTTGATTTATATTGTTTTCTGAATCTTCTCCGTTTTTTTTCTTTTTTACCTTTATTTTAATTGAAACCCTACCAGCTCCATTTTACGAATCACGAATTTCTCTCGAACGAGTCTCTCCTCAACAACCACCAGCGTATCGCCGATAGTCAGGATTCGATTTTAATCAATTCCCCGCTTATAGTTAATAAAATAATTTCGTTTTTAACTTAATTTTCGTAACTTATAAAAATTTCTCCAATCCACTTAACGTGACGATGGCGCACATTTAAAATCGTCCCATCACTCAATTACCCTTTGCACTCGTATTTATGTTTAAAAAGGTTACCAATCAAGAATATACCAATCCCTTAGAATGTAATTATATCACACTAACGCAAATATACATATACAAGAATAAAATAGCAGGATGGCGACACGAGTGCAAACGGTTAAGTCGGTTAATTATTATCGCGAATTACCATTACCATTCTCCACAGCGACGTGGAACGAGCGTGGATCGAGCTTCCTCTCAAGACGTGCGCCGCCCTCCTCGGCCAACATCCCTTCGCCGTACCCCTCCTCGTCCTCGAACCGCACAGTTTTCCCCTCGTTAAACGGGGGGCCACCCTCCTCCCTGCCCCTCTTCAAAATAGGCGCGCGAACGAGCAGATCGATCCCCAACCCGCCCTCCTCGCTCAACCTCGCCAAACCGGATCCCCCCCCGTCCACCACCTCACCCCAACCGTGCAAAATGGCCGATCTGCAAAACTCGAGCGTAGGAATGGCGATCGTGTTCATCCTCGCGCGATCCAACGTGTTCAACTTGCCTCGTCCTCGCTTCTCCCCCTCGTTCCTGAACCGAGCAGGCGGCTCGAGCAGAAACTTCGAAAACGCCTCCACCCGCTCCTCCTCGGCCGCCGCCAACCCTCCAACCGTTTCCCTCCCCCGCAAAACCGTTCCATTCTCCTTGTTCTTGCTTCTTATTCGCCTTCTTTTTCTTCTGGCCGGTGGCGATCCGTGCTTCTTCTTTCGACGGGTGTCGGGTGTCGATCGAGTCCGGGAAGAGCGGAGGGAGCGAAGCACGGCGAGGAGACGAGATCGTTTGGGGGACGATCGCGGCTCGGCGGGCAGGAGAGGGCGAGGGGCGTCCTCCTCTGCGGTGGAGAGACACCGGGAACAGTCGAGGAGTCTCATCTCCTCGAAATTTGTTCTTCGCTTTGAGATTACGATTTTTCTCTCGATTCGCCGCGACACATCGGTGTCGTCTCTCTACTTTCCTCCATCGTTTCTCATCCCTTTTTTTCAATCAATCGTTTCGACATTGCATGCGAGGAGAAACTGCTGAACGAATGGTGCGTCTAAATTTTATTGTTCGTTGTTCCTTGTGCAAAATATGTACTTCGGTGAAACAAAATCTTTTGAATGATAAATTCTCGACGCGTTACACCCTCTCCTTGGAAGATATTTTATACGAGTGAAAAATCATAGTTTGATTCGAAGAATTGCTTGACTGCAGAGAGCGACGATTCTTTTTTTTTCTTTCCAGGATCGATATAAATGTATAATTATCTTTTTTCAAATTCTCACAGATCGATCGAAGGGGAGGGGAGGATCGACACCTGTTTCGAGCGAAACCATTATTAGAATTGGATGGGAATTGCGATCGAAGGAGGCACATCCGTTCTCGATCGATCGAACAATTACGTGATCGGTGACTGCGTAACTGCAGAGAGACTTCCGCCTCCTCGTCTCTCAATTTTTAATCGAGCTTTCAAAATCGATCGAAACTATAATAAAACTGCTTTGTGAACCAAGATCCGCTCCCCTGCTTTGCCCGTTGAATGCTGCAGTCGACGACAATTCTTCTTTCTTTGGACGAAGCTTCTTTTCCTTAGCAATCTTCCAGGAACGTTCCATCGAGTTGTTCTTTCAAAAATTCTCTCGTCTCCTATTTCTCAACTCAATTTATCAATTCAACCGATATATATATTTTTAAATATATCCCAAGATTCTTTGCGTTTAAAATATTTCTTCCACACGAATTATACGTAAATAACTGTTTTCAAATTCGAAACGACACAACTCCTCTCCCGTCCAAAGGATCAAATCTCTCCAAGAAGACCAGACCAGATTTCGTTATCGAGTTCGAAAACGTTTCACCGGCGCGAAGCGTGTCCGAGGACTGGGCGAAGGAGAGGTTGGAAAAGGAGGAAGAGGGTCGCCTTCGAGGGGCCCTCGAAGGGTGCGGCGCCTCGTCGCGTGGAACGTGGCCGCAGGTGCACCACTCGTCCAGCTGCGCCTTCCGTCGAGCACCACGTGTTCCGAGGTACGGGTCGAGTTCGTGCGAAGCGTCTCTGAAACGTTTCTCGGATCGCTGCCTCGATTCGACGAAGAAATTCGCGAGCGAAGTCATCTAGTTAATAATTCGTATGTTGTGTCGGAGATGTATCGATTTCGCGGATATGCGACGAGAGTTTTGCATTAAATTGACTTTACACAGCAATTCGTAATAAAGAATAAAGATCTGGAGGAATTTGTTCGTGTTCATATCGCGTTCTCATTAATTGGAGCTTCTATATTTAAGAAAAATACTGTAATTTTCTTTTGTTCCTTTCATTTGTGTATTTATTATATCACACGTTTTATTTTTCTATATTTATTTTCCTTTTTATTCTCCACTATTTAAATGCAATGTTTTTATTGATATTTTTTTTTATATTTCTATGTTATATATACACGCGTGTTTTTAATGAAATAATAAAAAGCAGTCAACAAGATAATTTTGTCCGATTTCCTGCGACCGAGCGGGAAGGGTCGGTAATGAAGAATACGACTACGTGGCCGCTTCAAGTCCGTCTGGTCATCGTCGCGTGACGATATCTCGAATAATTTCGTGTTCCGCCCGCGACGGTTTGTCGACGCGTTAATTTAAGCTCTCCCCATTGTCTCGAATTCGAACGATCGGCCAATTTGCGACGGTCGCTCGTCGCGCCCTTTTCCACGCACTGGCGATCATCCTCGATCGACCAAATTACCCAATTGATTCGCCACGATTCTCTCTGCCCGCAACGGATTTTGATTCTTCGATTTGAAGGATAATTGCGTGAAAAATTGTTTCCTTTCTTTTTCTTTGGGTATTTGATCAACAATAAAGAATGCACAACAACGAGCGATGATAAAGACGTTGCAGAGACGTGGGTTTTTTAATTTACAACAGACTCAACGTAGGCTTCGTTAAATTCTTCCCACTTTTTTTCTGAATATAATTAGATTAACGCTTTGGAATTATTACGAAAATTGATTACGAAAATTTTAACCTTTGCACTCGTATTTATATTTAACAAGATTACCAATCAAGATTACCAAAAGTCCCTAGAATGTAATTATATTATATTATATATTTACTAATGTAAATATATCTAAAACAGTATGGCGATTACATGGCGACGTGCGAGTGCAACGGTAAAACGTATCGTGTCGCTTATATCTTTCATCTATCACTTTCGTCCCGATCATTGGGTAGATTGGTAATTCTAAACGTTGAAGTGTAAATGAAGTAACAGTTTGTACCTGCTCGACGTTTTATTTCGATAATAATCTGTGGCGAAGAGTTACGTTTCTATTAATTTCAACGAGCGTGATAATATATTCGAAAGAACACGCGAAAAAATTGTAGGATAAAAAGTTTACACTCACTTGTTTCGTTCTTCTTCGAATCTGTCGATGGGATCCGTGTGTTCGACGTGGTCGTGGTCGTTCTCGTCGTTGTCGTCGTCTCTGCGCGAAAAGAGGTTAAGAAAAATTTTAAATTTACATCGAAAAAATTTTTCCTGCCGATATTAACGCGCGTTGGAAAAAAAAAAAGAAAAGAAAAGAAAAGAAATACACAAATCGTGCAATAATTATTATCGCTTTATAGATGTGCGTTAAAACGAGCTAGGGACTTACTAGTGAGAATTTCAGTAGTGGTGTTCTCCTGCAAACTGCTTCTATAAATTCGTCTCTTCGGCGAGCCAATATTTTCCCTGCAAATTAGAGCACATAGAGGAAGGAAACTTTCTTCGAAAACTCTGGTTGTATATGTTTAAGTGAGGAGGAAGGATACACGGGATTTGGGAAATGTCACGTGACGTAAGAAATCACGAGGGGACACTTACTGATTCAAACCGAGTTTCAAGTGTTCACCGGCGTTCCGTAAGAGTGCATGCGCTTCGCTGTTCGTTAAATCCCTGGTAGTTCTTCCATTTATGCTGCTAATTAAATCACCCTCTCTCACCCCCTGTTGAGCCGCTTTACTGCCCGGATTAACCTGCAACGAAAATTTCAGATTTGTACCTCAATTAGAACGAAATTTCCAAGCGGTCTGTTTCCGAATCCTTCAATTTCAATCCTCCTTTTCATTTAAATCGCGATTACGATTCCTTTTTCGTATTCAATTTTCAAACACTACGGTATTTTTTTTTTTATTACACGCAAATAATTTATCAAACTGAAAGAATAAGAAAAATTGTTTAAATATTTTTAGACAATTTTTATACGGCGCAAATCTAGTAGAAGAAGTATATGTGTGTGTGTGTATATAATTTCACTTAAGTTCTCGAAAATGTTGAAGAAGAGAGAGATGGATCGTCTCGAAATTTACTCATTAAACTCTGGCTTGCCGCTAGAAAAGTCTCACCGTGTAAGTGCACTTTCGTTGCCCCGACGCTCGAAACTTCAACATGTTGAAAACTTTCTTCCGGAGGATCTGTCGATATGTCAATAGAAGCGACAACAACGACGATCGCGACGACGAGTAATTCGTAACTTCGTTCCCTGATTTTTTTTTTTCCCCAAAGTTTCGGTCTTAATTGAAAAAAAAAATTATTTCCTGCAAAAAGTTGCAGATCCTCCACTCTGCGATTTTTTTTTAAATTCGTGTGTTTAAAAGATCGTGGCTCTTTTGTTTAGATATATATTTATATTTCCAATTGTGGTTTGAGTATAATGGATAAATAATAATCGTATAAATATTCGATATCGAAAATTACGTGACCGAGAAAATTATTTTCATCGTTGGAAAAACTGACTTACCGACTAAAACAAGATGATGCTCAAACAGCGCTATCTTCGAGGAAACGCTGAACTACGAGAAAAAAAACCCTAGATTTTACCGATCTGGAAGTACGATAGATGTACGATCGCTATTTGATGATAGGAAAAACGTTACGAAATATAATGAAATAATCGATTTTTTTATTTATAGTTAATTTTAGTTAAAATTTAGAAAAAATAATAAATTTAAAATTATTTTCTAACATTGAACTCAATTTATCATATTACTTTTTTAGAACAGAATTATTCAAAATTTGCCTAATTCATCAGGAAAGATCCTATATATATATATATTTACACTTCGTGCACTCAAAGGAATTAATTTGTTCTCGCTTAGAGACATCGTTAATTAAAATTGTTACGTAAGTCGTAGACTTCTTGCGTAGTCCACCAAGTTTATACCAGGCCGGTATATAATGTAATTTAAATTTTGTACAATTTTTTATTATCTCAATTTAATTGAAATATAATAATACCTAATTTTATTCGTCGAAGAAAATTCGAAGCACCACGGTCTCTTTTTCTTTTTATCGAGAAAAAAATGAGCAAAATATGGAAGCTGTAAATTTCGAAACCAAGCTACGAATTTTTATTATCTGGAGCGTAACTGTTCAAATTATCTACCCATAACAGCTATTGTCTACCGAGGTGTTATTCTTTCTCCGCCGTTGTAATGCAAATTTCTCTGCTTATTCCGCGGAATCTGCCTTGTTAATGCTGCATACTCCACTAAATAAGGGAAATTTAACGCTTGTAAAAAAAAAAAAGAAAAAAAAAGTCGAACACTTTTATGCTCCCGACCTAGAACATAAATTATATTATTCCACGACCCATATTCTTCGTGTATATTAATGATAATATGTGCACGCTTTGTGCAATTAATTCCATCCATCGTTCAAATCGTAAAATTGAAATTAAAAATGAATCTTAAAAAAAGCTTCGAAACTCACTCATCGTCCGATTATCGTTTGACTATCGAGTGAACAAGTGATCATTGACCGATGATTGACCACTGATCGGCCAATAATTGCCCAATTGCAGACCAGTTGATTCAACATCAACCGTCTCGATTATCGATGAACTACGAGATCCACTCGATCCACCGACTTGCTGAAAATTCTCAAAAATTACGGAACGCAATTTTACAAATTTTACCACTCGAAACATCGAGTTTCCATATTTTTCGCGAAAAAAAAAAATGATGAAGAAACGGACGAAAGCGAGGCAGCTGCTTTTAATCAAGACTCCTCAAAGCTCTCCTTTAATATTCACTTTTTTTTCTTTTTTTCAGAATTACGTATTAAAGAACGACCTAATTGTACGGTTGTATTCGAAATAGACGAGAAATCGTCGGGGATGTTTCATAGAGGTAATTTCAAACGACTTCGAAACGAATGTATAATAAGAAACCGATAAAGCATCCATTAATTTCTTCTCGTACATCCGCGTATCCCTCTTTGAAACACGCACAGTTAAAATATCATACGATTTCTCTTCAATCGTCTTCTCTTCGATCTATCGAAATTCGCGTTTATAACACTTCCGAACTGCAAGAGATTTTCAACGAGTCAAATCTATTATTAAGATAGAAAAAGAAAAAAATCACATTTCCCAATTATCTGCTCGATCCATTGGAGAAAGGATGAGAGATTGGCAAAAATTCGGGTTAATAACACGGCGGTAGCAGGAGGTAGAAATTAAAACGAAACGAACGTCACGCGAGGGAGGGGGTCTCGAGGCGAGGATAATTCAGCAAAGTGTGCGAACCACCCGCGGCAATACGTAGCATATTTTCTCATCGTCGTTTATACCGAGGAGTAGAGAGTCAGCCACGTCCAACCAATCCTTTCCGCATCCTCCATTTCCCTCTTTAACTCTTATATACGGCAGAGAGACTCCCGAACTAATAAAGAGAAAAAAGTTCCAGATAGTGGAATTTTCGGATAATGTTTTTCTTTCTTTCGCATTGAACTTCGTTTATCCAAGTAGAAATGAAAAAAACTGATGGTTTCTTTCAACGTTCAAGGATCTTTTCAACCGTTGGAGTCGTAAATTTTTTATCGTAGGCAGCTGCGAACCGTCTAGAATTACATTCTCTCGAAACCATCGAACCACTATGTATTCTTGCTAATTTCGTTTAACACTTTCACCACACTCAAGATCTTTAATTATTTTAAGTATTTTTCTTCAATATTAATATAATTTTTCGTTTACTTACGCGATACCGTTCTTCGCTTCACACCGAATCGATACGATTACGTTTAACCGGCCGAACACGGGAGAGTATCCATTACATCTGAATACGTTGTGTTTACGTTGTAATTTAAGTACATTGTATGTAAACATACTAGCTGTAGAATGTTGCGCGCGTAACAGAACATACGAATAATAGAACGTTCGTATATTATGGTATTAGAATAATGGGAGTCTCTACTGTATGTATATATATATATGCTCCCCCTCTTCCTCTTTTTTACAGCGTATTCCACTTCCCGAGCTTTTTCAAAGTTCTGGGACGTGACTTGTCGACCGGAAGTGGCACGACGATTCGTCCACTCCAAGGATAAAATATGTTCCTTCTGAATTTAAACAGTGAAATATGGTGAAGATGAATATTTTTGATAATGGAATTGTATATATATTACTTGTACAAAGTGCTTTTATAGATAAATGCGTTTTAAGTTACGAGTGTATAAATTTTTTTTATTCTATTTTATCCTTATTTCGATTATTCGATTTAATTTTTTTAATCTAAAATAAAACGTGTTTTAAATTTTTAAAATGATATAAAACGCAACGCAAAGTGGAGTTTAATACGATAATTTGAGGGATAACGTGGAAGCATCGAAATTCCAGAGATATTATTAATTTTGGGATGTGTTTCCAAATAAAAAAAAAATAGATAAATTCTTTCATATTTTTTATTTGTTAAAAATTTCGTTCAATCGAGAGAAAATATTTATTCAACGATGCATATTTCACCGTCGATAAAATGGTTTGCGTTCGATTAACATATTTATCGATAAACAAACGCTTAAACGAAATCCTCGCCCTAAAGCTTCTCCAAACTTTCGAATTTACGAATAAAACTTTGAAAAAAATAAAATTTCATTGGATGAAAAATAAACAAAAACGAATTTTGTATTGAATAGAAAAGTAAGAGAGTTATCTTTGTTTTCTGGTATTATTTTATAAACGCTGAGCAGTGCAGTTTTATTTTCACTCGCTTCAGAAACTTCTTCGACGATGAAAAATCAAATCGACTTAATTTTCCTAGACTAAGCAAATTTTTCGTGCTCTTTTTTTTTCTTTTTTTTTCTTTTTTAAGTTTAAACAACGTTAACTTTAATCGAGTTATTATGATAAATTATCAAAGCAAAATTAAATATGAACATAACTATACTCTATATTCTTTTTTAATTCAATGATTACCGTTAATACTTGAAAAAAAATTTATATTATATGTTATATTCCAATATTTATTAATTAAATATAATAACTAATATAATTTATTCAAGATTCGATTCGAGGAAAGACTCGCATCGTGACATATCATTATATTTCATTAAAAAAAAATTTTGATTACAATTGATATAAAATAATTTTAACCTAGAATCAATATCTAGGTCGGGCAAATCTAGCTTATGTTGGATTAGGTTAAATATTAGGTCTAAATTAGATTAGATTAGAAGGTTAAATTACGTTAAGTTAAGTGGATTAAAATATCTATATAGCAAACAAGACAAACAATACTATTATTCTTTCTAAGAAGTAAAAATTTAAGAAAGATCCGACGAATACAAGTATTCTCTGTATTCTCTTCTTCCTTCTGAATTTCTTCAATTTTTCAACAACCTAACCTCAACATCAACATCGAAATATTATAATCAAACTTACTCGAAAATGACAGATGGATTATAATTCACGAACGATTTGCAATCCGACACTTTTTACTCTCTTTCTTCGCCTAAGAGATCCTAATAGGTTATCCACAAAGAGATTAATCTCTTTCCCTCGGTACATTTCTGAATCGCGACGATTAAATCCTTCTCTTAATTGAATATCTCAATCCCTCGAGTGTCTGTCCCACGTTGAGTGGCTCGAACGATTTTAATTCGTCGATGAATATTTATAACATCTTTCCCTCCAAAGGGAAAGAAAGGGAAACGTTTGCCACGAGACGTTATTTCCTGACAGCGAAACGTTCGAGAACTT